TGGTTAAAGCAAAGATGAGCTTTATATTTGTATTTGGTTAGTGGGACATTCTAGCATAACTGGAAATCGTGGCCTGAACTGATGCATTACATTTTCACTTCTCACCATGGAAAGTATTTGTCTTATTTAAAGTCGACACATCTCATTGAGAGCTGACGATCTTACCGCAAACAAAACTGCTTTACTAGTCCAAGGTATGCACAATAGCGTGCGAGTGCAGACTTTGTCAATATCTTTGGGAATGGTTTACATTTTTAAGCAGTCAACTTCTGTCATTTCTGTTATCAGTAGCTACTGTAYTAAAACAACAACCATATAATTAATTTTAGGTTTGGAGCTGAAGCAAAAATCAAAAACTGTGGATTATTTTAATTGGTTTGGTTTTACGTTTTCACATTTAGTTTTTAAAACAGAAAACATATAAACAAACAAAAGAACTTTTAGGGTTTTTTTGTGATTATATTTTAAAATGTATGAATGAACCATAGACAGATTTATGAATGAGTTGMTCTTCACAGGTCTCCCTCTTCTTTAATTGAAACCTATGTACAAAAGGCCAAGCAAAATATGTTTTACTTTGCCTTTTGCCACTATTTGACATGACTTTCATTGGTTCCCCATCATTTGTTTGTTACGATAGATTATTAGGACCACGTAACAAGATTATTAGTTTTTTATTACGATAATAAAGTCATAATATCACTACATTAAAGTTGTAACATTACAAGAATAAAGTCATATAATATTACGAGAATAAAGTTCTAATTTTACGCGATTAAAGTCATAATATGAGAACCTTTATATAAAAAATCAGTCTTGCCAGTGCATTAAAATGAGGGATGTTGAGCACCTTGTGAATTTCTTCTTTGGTATTGGTTAAAAGAAATGCCTAATCATTTAGCACATTAGCATCAAATTATCAGTAGCCAGACTTTGAAACGATTGTGCAAATTGACTATGTGAAAAACTGAAGCTGTTTTGTAATTAATGGTTGTGTTGGCAGATTTAGTCACCACGTAATATGAATGGAAGCATATTACACTGATGCTAATACTGTGGCCCTAATACTCTGTCATAGTTTGTTAGTTTAAATGTTGTTTTTAAAATCAAATATCATACAGGTCATATTTGAAGATCATACAGCAGGGATATTTATTCATTTATTTAAATGGAAAAACTACATAAAAACTCATCAAACAGTTAGGCCTGTTTGTGGGTGTGTATCTGTAAATATGGTGACCCTACTATTGGCATAGCATGGTCACTCAGTGAACAAACATTACTTTTTGTGTGTGGTTTTAAGTATTAATAATTACAGTTGAAATGACAAGATTAAAATCAAAGAAAGTTTTAAGAAAAAAAAATATTTCACTTTTTACAGAAAACAATTGAAATATGGAGGAAAAGGTCAAAGTAGTGATAACAAAATAAAGTCAAAACAAAATAAATTTATTTTGAAAATTAAAGTTGA